CTAGAAAATTGCCAGAAGGATGGGGTCCAGGACCCAGGTCGTGATTTCCCATGATTGTTGATTCAATTTTGTCGCTGCGCTCGTCCTCTGTCCTGCGGAAGAGGCTACGCCAGAGGCTTTCCGACGCCAAAGAAGCTGCCAAAGGCGCCCGAAAACCCCTCACTTCCATCCCTGGCCCTCGAACCACGACCCCGCCCCGAGGGCCTTCGACGGCCTCTGAGGGTATTTGGGAAGTTGGGGGGACCAGCTCAGTGGAGGAAGCATCGTTCTGGAATCGGCGAAGCATCGCCGATAGATCGGCGATAGGCCCCCGATGGCGAAACTGCACCTTCCTGGGCGGGGTGTAGCTATCAGACCCTATCGACGAAAAATCGGCGATTAGGGGTGCCGCTGCCCCTGATCAATGCTACGAGGGAAGTTCTACTGGGACCGGCGCGGTGGTTGCTAAGGAGGTTTCAGGTCCGAGGTTTTTAGTGTGCTTTCGTCGAATTTCCGCGATTTTCCAGCTTCGGGATACTCTCCAGCAGCTGCGCCTGGCCGAGAGCCTTCTGGGGGTATCCAGACCGTTCCGAACGGCCGCCGAAGGCCCGAGGTTTGGCCCGAAAACCATCGGTGACAGGGATGCTGGGATGCACGCGGGGGTTGCTAAGGGGATATGGGGGTCAACAGAGGATGCCCGGGTGAAATACACAGGGCCCAGTCTGGCACAGAACTAGGTTACATATACCCCGAGTGGCTCAGGGGGACTAAATATCCAGGCTAAGCGGACGACTCACTATGAAACGGAACGATTATTTGCGCTGATGTTCGTACGATTTCTATAGATCAGACTGGCCAGAGGCGTCATTGCACAATGGTTTCATCAGCACGAAGACGATTTCGTGCGTGTTACCAACAGTGATGCTCGAAGTCTACCAGTCGCGCCCGACTCCGGGCCGAGCATTGACTCGATCGGACTGCCTGCCCGCCTGCCTGCGAAGTGGGCTCCTCCCACATGACCGAATTATCAAACCCCGCATCATGCCCAGGGCCCGTGTCCCTCACGACCCCTTCCCCTCGGAAGAAAATTGTGAGGAAAACCCTGGTGGCCCCGTGCGGCAACTTGAGACCCAATTGACGCCGGATGCACGTCGGATTTACGTTGGGCTCCCGTCGGATTGCGTCGGATAAACGCCGGGTTCACATCGGATTTGCGTCGGACTTGCGTCGGACCGTCGCCGCGCAAACGTCGTCCCATATCTCACAGGGGCCGACGTGCGGAATAGATGATACAACCATTGTGCGCCGCGCGAGGCCTCCAAGGTTTCTCTCATGAGAGAGCAAGCTCTGATCCCAGATCTCCGACCGGCAGTTTCTTTTTTCTCCGATGCCGACTCTCCGGGGCCGCCTTCGAGTCCCAGGGCTGTCAAACAAGAACCCCAGACGAAAAACTACCACCAGAGACCAGGAAGAGGACGAGGAGGAGGCTGGGCAGCAACGAGAGCGAGCTCCCCGAGACGGCCCAAGGAGGCCTCCAAGACAACCCCAAGAGGCCTCCAATATTGAGCCTCCAGCAGAGCTCGAGGAGCCCGAATCCTACCAGCTCTCTGGGTGTAAGCGGTCTGGGGGGACTCCTTTTCTAGCCTTCCTTCTTTCACTTCGGGGAAGGGGTTACCACCGTCCCCCATGAATATACCCCCCCTCCCCCAGGCGAGCAGCAGCCATCTGGAATCATGAGGACACCATACGGGCACCCCCCCACCATCCCTGTCACAGAAAGACTACAAAACGCACTCTGCTTTCACATTTGGAGCATGCGCGGCCAACCCGATGCGCCCCCCCCACCATTCCGATCAAAAACAATACTAAGTACAATTTGGGGCAAAGTCTTGAGTCATTTTCGTGAGGCCCGCGAGCACTTTGTATGGTTTTTGACAGGGACGGCGGGGGTGTCAGCACATTGCCCGCGCCTGTTGTGCGCAGGGCGACCATCACTGACAACAAAAATACAAAATGCACCTCGCGGCTGAATCTGGATCATGTGCGGCCACCCCACGATCACTGTCAAGTGGTTTTTGACAGGGACGGCTGGGTTGGTGGCGTATGGCCTGCTGTGCGCAGGCCCACAAGACACTATGATGTGCATTGCCTTTCGACAAAGATGGTGGGGCCGACATGTTTCTCGATGTGTGCTCACGTGCGCAGGCGCACCTGACCTACTCTGCACGTGCCCCGAACGTGGCGCACCCGGCGCGGCTGGAGTATGCGGCACACCTGGCACACGCGGAGCACGTGGAGCATCTGGCGCACCAGGCGTGCCTGGCACGCTCGGGCCCCAGGGGTGCCTGGCGCGCGTGGCGCGCCTGGCACGCGTGGCGCACCTCGCCCCAGCGTCGCGCACGTGGGCTCGGTTTTGATTCCCAGTAGCTTAGCTGTCCATCCCAAGACGACCGCTGAACATGCGCAGGCGCAGGGGCTGCTTATGTGATGGGAGGGCGGATGGGAGTGAGCTAGACTACTTAGGTCGGGCCTGTCCCCCTACAGGCGGATTTTAATTGAAAAATGAAAGCACGTAAAAAACCAAATGGTCAAACAACAATCAAAACATCGTTCCCAGACTATTTTTGACTATTTTAGAATATCCCCCCTGTAGAGGGACAAGCCCGACTTAACCTTAAACCCCTTCCCCTGGACCTGAACGCGGCGCTCACGGTGCCAATGTTTGTGTCGCTCGCGCCGTCCCTGAGATCCTGGCTTCTTATGTTTTCGATCCGGGCGTTCTCGTAAAATGTTGGGCCCGAGGCCCTGCTTCTAGACCGCTGCGGCTCGAAAGAGTGGGGCCGTCGGATGGGGTCCAGTGTGCCGGCCGTGCTGTTTTTTACGCTGCTGCAACCTGCTCACGCCGCCGGATCTCAGGGTCCAGGGGGGACAACGGATCCACACTTGAAAGGCTTTTTCGCCAAACGGCTTCGAAATGCTGCAAACAAACGAGCACGCTGCGGGCGTTTCTGCCCTTTTCAAAATCGCTCGTGCGTCTGTACCCCCGCTTGTCGGCGGTGGACAAGCCTCCCTTCAATAAACCCCCCCTTCGTGAAAACGGCCTGTGACCGGCGCCGACGGACCCGGACCCGCAGAAGTGACGGCCGCGACGCCCTCCCGCGAACCGAAAACGGCCAATTCCTTAATCGACGTGTCAGGGTAGGATTAAGTCGGGCCTGTCCCCCTACAGGGGGATTTTCAAGGAAAAATGAAAAATACCCCAAACATAATCAAAAAATAATCCAGATATAGTCTGGGGAGTACTTTTTGGGGTATCGTTTGACCTTTCTTTTTTTTTTTTTCTCTATGACATAAAATTTGTTTACATATTTTTCGTCGAAAATCCCCCTGTAGGGGGACACGCCCGACTTTAGG